ATGGCTGTTTTTTTACAGCTTCTTTTGAAACTATTCATTATGATGAGCGACATTGGGATGGGGATGCCGGCTTCTAGCCCTGGTGAAAGGACTTTCCATGTCCAATTCCAGAATGAGACCCAAAAGATTATTGCTTGACACATGCAGAGAAAGGTAAAAATGGGGTAAGGAAGAAAGAAAAAGGAGGCTCTGCACACTTTGGAGGAACCACAGTGTGGAAATAAAAAAGCTTAAAGTTGAAACGCTTTACTCATGGGGAAGCTGAGTAATGAAATAAATTCATGTGCTCAACTGAACTAGGGTAGACGATCCAGTTTGTTCAGGTTTACCAGATATTTACAAGGGTCATATCTAGATGGGGGCAATATGGTATGATAATTACAACAAAGTTTTTGTAGTTAAGATCTGGATTTGTTTCCTGGTTCTAGCAGTTAACAGAGTAACACTAAACATTATTTAACCTCTGTGACACAGATGCCTCATGGCAGAAACAAATAGTTCATACTTCAGAGGTTTTTTTGGAGGTTTAAGTAAACTGTGTTAACAACTTAACCCAATCTTAACAACATATATTGATTTAATTTGCTTGCAAGATTTTTGTTCTGTCAGTATGTGATCAATACAACTATAACATTATTAGTTCAGTGTTAATAGAAACAAGAAAATTCTTCTTTCTATGCCTGCTGCTTAGGAAAATATATAAAAATAAAATGTAAAAATATCTAAGTGATGTAATTAATTCAGGCCTTTCTTTTTAGACGATGTTAGAGAAGTACTCAAACCAGTCTGCAATCAAATCCTGGAAACATGAATCGTTTTAATATTTGGAATCATAGAAAGGCTATTATTAGGAGATTAAACTAAATATTATCATTTAATCACGCAAAGAAATATTCAGAGAACCATCCAGAACTAAAAGATTCTGCACCTTCATTCAGGTGCAAACATTACGGAGAAGTTTATGTCAGGTGCTGCAGTATGACTGGTAGACATGACAGATGTGTTTCTGACACAGCTTAGAGGAGAAGACAATGAAATATGGTATGTGTATAATGAGGGCATTTATCCCAGGGAGTGTATGAAGGGGTTTGCTTCATAGAATGTTCTCTGGGTGAGGTGAGACGGGAGATGAGCTTTAAAAGACTAAGCAGGATTTACCCATGGAAAGGTTAATAAGACAGCATTTCAAAGTTTGAGAGATGGACCAAAGACAAGCCTCAAACTTGTTTAGGCTAAACAAGGGAAAACTCGTGGTAAGAAAGATATAAGGCAAGACATTTATATTAAGGCAGAGTTTTATTTAAGATATATAATCTTACTGGAAAATCTTAAATCAAATATTTTGAACTCTGAATAGTCTAGGAATATGTCTTATAAAATATGGCCTATCACTTTCAAAGAATATATATGAGACTAAAATCATATTCCTGATTTTATAATGCTATCAGCCATCTAATGTTACTTTGTTTTGGAAAAACTGTCAACCCAAGAGAAATATGTTCTTTGGTATTGAATGAAAGATACTCCAGAACAACTGTATAAATGTTTTGTTTTAATTTTTTTCTCCGGTGAAATCTCAAAACATGAAAGAGAAAAATGCAAATATGATGTTTTAAAAAATGTATCTTTTAAAAGATATTACTAATTTTTATTGTTATATGTTATACACTTTTAACTACATTTCATTTTGTTGTATTATTAGATTCTGTCACCCTCCAATTCCACAACTTCATATTAGCACAAAGTAGAAGCATCTTGAAAAAAATGTTAGAAACTATCAAATTCCATCTATTGCTTTTCTTATGACATACCTAGCTAGGAACGTGATTTGTGGCCTTTTGTTCAAGAGGCTTTGACATTGAACTCACTTTGTATATTCATTAAATATACAAAAATTTCTAAGCAAAGAGAAAAGTGTTCAACAGAGATAAATATTTTTAGTGGTTTAAGAACGAAACAGAGAACAATACATATTTAATGTTATATTGTTTCTTCCAGAAAACTGTAAGCTCTACAAGAGCAGAGACATGTCACCATGGAATCCCAAGTGCCCCATGCATTGCCTGGAATGTGTTTTGTGAAATACAAGTGGAAAGAGTTAATGATAAAGAAGTGAAAGAGTGAATGAATAAAGTGTAAGAAAATGACTTGTAGGTAAAAATACAAATCCCAAGTGCCCCATGCATTGCCTGGAATGTGTTTTGTGAAATACAAGTGGAAAGAGTTAATGAATAAAGAAGTGAAAGAGTGAATGAATAAAGTGTAAGAAAATGACTTGTAGGTAAAAATACA